TCACCATCTTCGGCCAATAGCAGTCACTGGCTTTAATCATGGCAGTGTCAGTGGAGTTAATCAGCCGCGAGACTGTAAACACGCTGTGCCTTCTTTTCTCGAACGCACTATACCTGGATGAGCGAAGGAAAGCGAATTGCACGCGATCAACGCGTTTGTGAAGTCGACTTTATCATCCATAATCAACGTCCGAAATGCACTAATGATTGAAGAGTCAATCCTGAGTCAACGGGTGTCTCTTGTCATCTCTTAAAACCTTAAAGACCTCTAAAAATGGTGCAAATTATTAATGTTTTCTATTCGAAGTTTCTCTATTTTTATTTGAATAGTTGTTCAAATATTCAAAAATTGGTTAGAATAAAGCAAATATAAGTTTTAAAAATTAGTATCGTCGGACATTGGTGACCACCATGACATGTCAACGTTAATAGCTTCAAAAGCAACGCCGATACTGTCATATCCTATCTCACTTGCTTTCCTAATGATATTCGTCATCATTTTCAGCTAATAGTGGTCAATGCCTATGACAAAGGGAGAATCCAACGAAATCAGTCGTGAGGATGTAAACACACTATGCCTCCTTTTCTCGAACGCGCAATACCTGTTATGTGAAATTCATTTGTCACCAAGACCTAGCTGAACATTCATCTCCAAATTCAACTGTCAATAAAACTTCAGAATTATCCATATTGCTATACTGTCAATCACATAAGGAATCTTTGACAACTGTATAGAAGAGACTTGGCGCCATTTTGGTATTCCTTGTCCTCAGTTTCGACTTCCTTTGGTCCCTGGCACACTTCCTTCTCGAATTCTCACCGATTGGGCACTTGAATGTCATCTATTTGTGCTATACTTGCTTGAACGATGATCCAGAAACGGAATAATCCTTGACAAGATTTATCCTGGCCCCTATTAAATCCAACTATATTAGAATTCAATTAAAAATCCATGTTTTTGATTTTCCTTGTCTCTAAAAGAAAAAAAATTTCTCCACTCTCTCCGGATCTTCTGTTCTGTCCTCGGCTTTAATCTTCGTATTAATAAATGTCTTTCGGACTTTCGCATTTAATATCCTCCTCTTTGGACTGGATTTTCGACTCGGTATCTTCGACAGTCATTTCCGCACACCATATACGTGCTCACCGAAGCAGGCAGCTGATCGTGCGGGTTTACGGGGACAAATTCGGAGAAAAAACGGCTATACGCCCCAAGGTAATCACCATCAGGACCGTCTTCCGCCATTCTTTTTTGCCTTCGCGAGAAGTCTAAGTTACCAGCGCACACTTGTGTCAGCACACGGAGCGCAATACTCGACTCCGTTTACGAGATGTTAACACGATACCTACGTAGTAGCTGTCTCTTAGCAAGTCAAATTAGTCGCATTTTTAATTAAGCCGCGCTCAGTTTGCCCGACACGTCGCTGATTCCGATCACGTTTTCCCGACATGATTGCAATTTGCACTTTTATCGAAAATCTCTAAGAATTTTTTCCACCGGCTTTGTTAGCCTCGAAAAACGCGCGGGCACACGTTTTGCGAGCTATTCCACGCTGATGGAAAAGGGAGTGTCGAATATGAGCAAAATCAAGCGAGCATAATTGGAAAGGGGGATGGTGGCAACCGGGTAATTAGATTTTCCCTGAAAATTTTCTCAATTAGAAAACTTCGATGGCTCGTCGTATAGTTTACGCCGGGGAACCGGGAAGCTTTTTTCCGGGGGGAAAATTGAAACGAAGGGGTTAATTATCAAACCGTTAGAACTGCGATAGGTACTTGGAAAATAATTTTCGCTATCGAATGGATAGGTAAGAAATTAAAAATTCGGAGAGGAAACGAATATCGATGAGGAATACTTCGTCAATGGCAAATTTAAAATAATCGGTGTATCAAAGATTCAAAAATTATTTAATAAATTATTTTTTAAAATTTCTCCGTCCAAAAAATAAAATTTCCGGAAGAATTTATTAGGCAGCGTTCTCGTGTCGCGATGAAATTTCGAAAGAATCAGGAAGGCGAAATAAAACGAAGACGAGTTGAGAACCACTGATTTCTTATGTCCTTACTTCTTGGTCGGAGGATCCGCGAAGAGGCGCCACAGGGATGTCGCTGAGCGAGCTGTCCTCTCGTCTTTCAGCCACTCCCATTTTCAGCTACCGAGTTACTGCCACTCTGTCAATCTCACCTGACAGTCGCGTCCAAACGAAGATACACTCCTGACAATGAATAACCCTCCGAGTCGCCATTCACCTTGTCACCGAGAGGAAAAGTTGCATCGTTTGTATCCCACGATATTGCGAACGCGATCAGTCTTGAAAATTAGTTCTACGAACTCGTTGCATACTGAATTTCAATGTACTCTCATTCCGGATGAAAGCAGTTACATTTAGGGACAGGAGTATTCACCAATTTTCTTCTCCGGAATTAAAATTCCGGTTATCTCGTGAATCCTTTGCACGGCTCTTTACACGTGTATCATATAAAATTCATCCACATTTTCATACAAATTTTATGTGTTTAATTAAAAGTTGAAGTAGATTAAGTTTCAAAGAGTTTTCGGGAAATATTGCATTTTAGAAGATGCAATTGCAAGAAAATGAAATGCACGTAAATGACTCGAATTTTGTACTCGTGTCGTTATTCTTCTCAATATTTTACACGTTTTTGTTATAAAATTCATCCACATTTTTATACAAATCTTGTATGTTTAATTAAAAATTTTAGGAAATTTATTTTCAAAGAGTTTTCGGGAAATATTGCATTTTAGAAGATGCAATTGCAAGAAAATGAAATGCACGTAAATGACTCGAATTTTGCACTCCTCTCGTTATTCTTCTCAATATTTTACACAACTTTTTACATGTATATAATTTAAAATTCATCCACATTTTTATACAAATTTCGTGTGTTTAATTTAAAAAATGAAGTAGATCAACTTTCAAGGAGATTTCGTGAAATATTGCATTTTAGAAGATGCAATTGCAGGAAAATGAAATGCGCGTAAATGACACGAATTTTGCACTCGTGTCATTATTCTTCTCAATCTTTTACACAACTTTTTACACGTACATAATATAAAATTCATCCACATTTTTATACAAATCTCGTGTGTTTAATTAAATATTGAAGTAGATTAACTTTCAATGAGTTTTCAGAGAATATTATATTTTGAAAGATATAATATATCAAATAATTTGATAATTGCAAGATAATTGCGAGAAAATAAAATCCAGACAAATGACACGAATTCTGCACTCGTGTCATATAGTATCGCTGCTCTAAATCTCCACTCGATATCCCAACGATTTATATTTTAATTTCCACTTTGGTTCTCGTCAAAAGCTTTGACCAGGCTTCTCGAAGCACCCTCTACAAAGTACATAAATTACGCAAGCCCTGAAATCACCCCTTTCGTGCCAATACGCTCCAATTGAATTCCACCCTTGCCTATAACAAAATCAGGGGAGCAAATTACACGAACCGAATTCCCCGTTTCACCTTTTACGACTTGGCCGCGACTTGACGGAAGGATCCGAGGCTCGGAACGCGCGAGGGGCCCCGGTCCCTAGGCGTCTCATTTGAATAAGACAAATGAAGACATCCGGGAGACACACGGCGAGAACGATGAAGCTGATAGCCGAGATTGGGCCGGGGATCACCTACGGCGTGTACGAGGCATCGAACCGTACCGATTGATTACGATCGTTACGAAGACAATGGCGGACACGGCTTACCCTAACGACGACGGCTCGAACTTAGGATTACCTCGGATGGCCTGCGCCGCGGCTAGCCAAGGCTCCAGCCCTGTCCGCTGAAAACCGATCCCTGGCTACTGCCCACGCCTCCGTATCTTTCGCCATTTCTCAGCCGTTCGATCGTCCAACCGTGCCGCCTTTTATCGCGCAAATCGGCCCGCGGATAAACACCGTTCCTCGAAACTCGAATCCCAACGCGAAGAAATCCCCCCCGAGACCCCTCACTTCGCACGCTTTCGCGAGAACTCGCTCCGATCCCTCGACATTTCGACTCGACCCAACGAGGTCTGACCAGGTTCCCTCGATCGTCATCGACGGTTCTTCCGACTCTGAGAAGAGCCCAGTTCCGTGCTAGTCGACTGGATCTCTCGGTAACGCGTTAACTGGCTAGAAAGTGGCTGCAGGTGTTGCTTGCTTTCGTGACTCGACGCGTTAACGGCTCAGCTCGGCGTTTTCTCGCCGGACTCTGCTTCGCGTTGCGAAAGGGTAACGTTCCCGCGAGAGCAACGCGAAAACGTACGTAATCGAGGAACGACGGAGACCTCGGTGACTGCTTAAAATAGTAGCAGAACGGTGTGCCCTGCGAGCGGTCTGGAATTGCTGCCAGGCTTGTTTCACATCGGGAACTTTCCACGGAGACGAAGCTGGGGTAATATAGGGAAACACGCGTTATCCTGGCAACTCTACCCCGGAGAAAGAAAAGAAATTTGTTCGGCAAACGATGCTCGTGGTACACGCAAGGTGCATGTCTGACGCGAGGCTGTAGGAAAACGATGTTTCCCTAACTCCGTCATTCTTCCCCTGTTCAAACGGAATTTACATAAACCCGTGATACAACAGTCTCCGAGGTGGAGCTCGATAGAAGCTTCTCGATAAATATTTCTCTTCGACGTTGCAACTAGGGAAAATAGCGGAACTACGGCTAAGTTGACACCTTCTTGACTGCCACGTTGGCAGAAAGCCGTTACGGGCGAAGAGAACCGGTGCAGACACCGGAGGAAAGGAGATTTGTCTGGATCAGAGGAGCATATTCGATACGCTTGCAGACGCGCCGCGAATGAATCATGTTTCCGATTGTTACCGTGTATAAAACCGTATCGAATCCACCCCCTTACAGCGTGTAGAACGCGACCAAAGGGGGTGGTCGGGGAGAGTAGGAGATGGAAGGAGGGGTACGGCGCGTTTCTGCGCAACTCCGAGGCTTTTCCCCTGTCCCTCGCCATCTGCTGGAAGCTGCACGAGTGAGGAGATGTATTGAACAGGCTGAATGCGCGTGCAGAGATGCGCGAGTATCCGCGAATTCCCGGCAGCACGGGGCCGCAGTCCGCACAATAAAGAAAAAAATTGCCACGGAGTTAGGGGAACAGAGAGGCGGCGAGCGAGACGGAGAGAGAGACACCGTCCTAATCCTCCTGGACGCCGAAGAGGCAGACTCGATTAATAGTCACGGTCGCGAGAGAAACGACGTCGTCCTCGTGCCGCGGTGCCTCGGGATGAGACTGGTACTTTAAGCGGAGCTTCCGGAACGGAGGACCGTTCAATGGACCACCGCGTCTGGTGATTATCTCTGGTGAAACGTTTCTCAATTTGTGGCTCCGGTTTATAAATCGTTGCATCGGCTCTGTCGCACACGCGTTGTCCTCTTATAAACGCGACGCCGCGTCCCTTGACGGTGTTAACGGGTGAACCGTGTGTCCGTGTAACCGACCAGACAGACTCGACAGACGCTCGATAAGATGAGACCCGGTGGGTTCCTTCTCCTGCATCTGCTGCTACTGTGCATATTTTTCCTCGCGTCCGAGGCGCGACTCGGTCAACAGGCTGTCGCCGACGACGACGACGACGACGACGACGATGATTCGAACGACGAGGAAGACGAGGACGACGAGGACTCCGACGACCAGACCTATCAGACGCGGCCGGAGGTGGACGATGACGGACGCATATACAAGAACCCACGGAATTCCCCGTCGGTTGTATGCCCCCGGGACGAGGAACAGGCGCATTTGCTCGGCCAGAAGTGTCTGCGAAAGTGTTCCGCCGACGAGGATTGCAAGAGCAAGAAGAAGAAGTGCAGATGCGACGGTATTTGCGGGATGTCTTGCATCAAGCCTGAGAGAGAATGCCTGGCTCTCAGCGAGATCGACCACGGCGTGTTGACAGTGACTGGAAGATTTTTCGGCGATCGAGCGCATTACACCTGTGATCCTGATTACTTTACCGTCGGCCTCACCGACAGAACGTGCAGGGCCGACGGTCAATGGACCGGCACGACGCCTTCCTGTAAGAAGGACCCCAGCTCCTTCTGTTCTCAGCCGCCAAAGGTGAAAAACGCGCGACACAACGCGCTCGTCGAACAGACGACCTTCGACTTGGGTAGCGACGTCCAGTACTTTTGCAACCACGGTTACATGACTACCGGCATCAGAAAGGCGAGGTGCCTACTGATGGAAGGCGTTGTTAGCTGGTTCGGGCCTGACATCACCTGCGAACCGCAGTCCTGTGGAGCTCCCGCGGATATCGCCAACGGCTGGCACGCCGGTACGTACCTTTTCTTTCACTTTTCTTCTACCAATAGCGGACCGTTTATCGCCTTTCCTCGAACAATAGCCGAATCTCGAAGAGTCCCTGTTTACGCGACGTCGACGAAGATCGGTGGAGATTAACCCCTTGCACTACGATTTAATTCCGAAAAATTATATACTCGGGTAGTACCTAATTCTAATTAACTATTATATAACCATTCCATCCACGATGAAATTGAATAAAAATTTCAGAAATTCTTCGAATTTAATACCCATTAAAACGCGCGATTAGCGTAGTTTACGATCACAAGATTCTTCGTGAAAAATAAATAACGAGTTGAACTCGTTACTATAGTGCAAAGGGGTAATCGGTTTCTCCGTGAGAAGGAGACAGAAGTAATCCTCAAATTTTCAACGTGTACCGCTCCGAATATTCTCCTCTTAGAGGACCCGATCGAAACCTAGGTAGCCCTCCGAATCTTCTTACTCTCTTTCCACGCTATTATCACCCGGGAAATGTGAGGGGAAATTATCTCACGAGATCCCACCTGCTCTCTGTTCAAGGCGAGTGTTACACGTACAACTGCCGCGTGTCGCATCACTGCGCGGATGGCTACGAATTAGTGGGCAAAGCGGAGAAGCTGTGCTTGTCTAACGGCACATGGACCCCGAAAGAGTCGCCGCAGTGCGTGCAAGTAAGCGGCTTCAACGACACTTAAGCGTTTCGTCGCCTTCTCTGCCCTCCTTCTTCTTTATCTTCCCATTCTTCCGCGAGAGACGTGATACGCGTGTGATGTATGCCCCGCGTCCCGAACCAGGAAACGTTTTCTGTTCAGGTTAAAACGGTGCAATGCCCGCAACCGGAGAATCCAGTGAACGGGAACGCAGTGTACACCTCGTATGCATACAATTCCATCGTGTCGTACGAATGCAAGTACGGGTACACGGTGGTCGGCGCGACGACCAGACGTTGCGGGGCAGATAGAAAATGGACCGGAAAGACACCTACCTGCCAGGAGATTAATTGCGGTTCACCTGGTGTCCTGTACAACGGTTGGATTGAGAATATCGAGTTGGGTGAGTCGCGCGATGGACAAGCTGCACGAGCAAATTCTTCCACGCGTTTATTAATAAGCCTGACGTTACGAGAATAAACGATAGCCGAGGTTCACGAGAACACATTGCATACGGCACTCTGTTCGAGCAACGCGCTTCCAGGACCCACACCTTTTTCGACGATCCAGAAACACTTCATACGATGCATATATGCCCTTCTTTAATTCGCATTTGGTATCATATTCGCATAATTAGTATTGGAATATGAATACGCGAGACTTCGTTATCCTGGTAACGTAACAAGAAAATCTATTTTTAATTTCTTAACCCTTTGCGCTCTACGATTTTTTGGCTAAAGAGGGGTACGAGTTGAAAAATTTGTTTCCATAAGGCTGGTGATATTTTTTGAGCAGTAAATAAGAAATCGTATAATAATTAATACATAGAATTATTCAATTTCGATAGCTCGCACACTGTTACATTATTTTAAATTTGGTATATTAATTAATATCGAGCTTCGAAATTTTATCAAATGGCGACCTAGAGACATCTCTCGAGTGCAAAGGGTTAAATCATCGATTGAGTCGAAGAAACCTGAAAACGAGATATCTCGTACATTCACAATGTTCGGCTTGCTAAACACGAGATATCTCGTCACCTGTACGCAATGTGTTAACCGTTCTAGTGACACAAATCCTTGCTGTTTCCCTGTCCAAAAGTGTCAAGGAGCGCTTTTGCGCTTGTTTTATTTCCCGATCAGAAATGCCAAGAATCGCTATTAAACTGTTTTCTGCTCATAAGTTGTAATTCCTTCGATTCAGTGTTGTTCCGACATCGTTCTAAAACGTGTCGCGATTGGAGGTTTGGCAGCCTAGATCGCTGACACTTCTCACGCGAAATAGAAGAAGCGCAAAATCGCCGCTTGGCACTCAAGCAGTTAAGAACCGGAACAATCTGCTGAGAATTTCACACAGAAGATCCTGTCTTCACGACGGTTTAACCCTTTTAGTGCCTAGCGAAGATAATCGAACGGATTTGACGAATTTGCTAAGGTTTGGGGAAAAACTCGTAAAAATCAAACTGAGAATGATATTTAAAAAATTCAAAATGCAGTGTATTACGGAAGAAAGGGGGGATAATGTAGTGCCAATTGTATTTCAATATTTATTGAAAATTACGCGAAATATATAGAAACAGGTTTCTCTTCTACAAACGATATTTGTATATATAGATCACGTAATTATATTTATATTTGATAAAATATTGCAATTACGGTTCCAAGAAATTACCCCATGTCGAGGTTCTATGTTATTGCTTCAGCGTATACAGAGGCTTGGCACCTATCAGCATGGAATATAACAGGAAGTTAAACCCAAAGACAATTTTTCAAATTCTTTTGCAATGAAATTAGACCGTTTATACATTTTATAAATTTATTTCGAGATCATCGCTGAAGATCACCGCTACCTATATCGACAATTGACATTATATTGCTGAGTATAGCCTTCGAGACAGCGCTATCGCCATTGCATTAATCTATTCACTGATCATGTTAATTGTATAGAATTTCTAGGATGATCATTTTATATATGAATCATATATAAGGCGCCATCGCACAAGCAAAGATATATCGTCGTCCGGCATTAAAAGGGATAATTGAGCCGATATATTTTTAAATCCATTCCGTAAAGGCCTTTTTTAAAGTTATTCATTCGTGAATTGAATAGGTACAGAATGAAATTCATTGAGAAATTGAATAATTACCTGCTCTAAGGATCTACCTGTTTAGTGTACATTAACCCTTTGCACTCGAGAGGCACGCTTCAGCCGCCATTTTATAAAATTTCCAAGATCGATATTAATTAATATGTGAAATTTAAGATAATATAACACTGTGCATGGTATGGAAATCAAATAGTTCTACGTGTTAATTGTTATACAATTTCTTATTTACTGCTGGAAAAAATATCATCAGCTTTATGACAGAAAATCTTTGAACTCCTGCTCTTCTTTAGCCAAAAGATCATCGAGTGCAAAGGGTTAACCTCTTTTTAGCAAGAGAATAGCGAGTTTCCTGATCTTCGTTGCTTACTTTTATCCGTTCCTGTGAAGCTAACATTGGCTAAAATTGTGAATTTTATAATTTCCCATATATTTCTTCCACCTTAGAACGATGTAAAATTCCCAGGGAAATATCAGAGGAGTAAAGCTCTGGTGAATTTTCTCGAAATGGACCAAGTCATAATCTTCGCTGACTTTTTCAAACGCTAATTCCAACAGATACCGGCCTGGGAGCCAGCATAATCTTCCGCTGTAACGACCACATGAAGCTCGAGGGAAATACCTCGTCTGTCTGTCAGATCGACGGAAAATGGCGTTACCCGTTGCCCCAGTGTCTGGCTCCTTGCGTGGTGCCGCAGATAGAGAACGGTAACATCACGATCGCCACTCACAATAGGGATCACATCAACAACGTGACCGTGGTGGAGCACGGGGAGAGATTGCTGGTGTTCTGCGAGGAGAATTACGAATTCGCGGCGAACAGCACACCGGTTGTTTGCAATAACGGCACGTGGTCCATAGTACCCAGTTGCTCACCGGCCAGGTGTAAGCAGATGCCCAAGGCGCCGAAAAATGGAATAGTGATAGCGCCGAAGACCGATCACGGGATGAAGGCGATATTCATGTGTAAGGATGGCTTTGAGCTGGTCGGCGGTGGGCCATTGAACAACTCCAAGTCGATGGAGTGTCAGTACGGCACTTGGATCGGGGATATTCCGCACTGCAACCAAATCTTCTGTCCTTTTCCCGGCTCCATCGAAAACGGGAAGATCTACCTGATGGGGAACATGGGTGTCTACGATTACAGACCGTACGTGAAGAAGGTGGTGAATAACAAGCAGATCATGTACGACTGCGAGAAGGGGTACGTGTTGGACGATGGACCCACAGGGGCCACTTGCATCGGGGGTAACTGGAGCCCCAAAGAGCTGCCGAAGTGCATCCCTGGACGGCATCCTAGGCTCAGATGGAGCAGACGTCGAAGATCCGTGAACGAGGAGAACTTGACTATGAATTACAGGTGAGTTGGGAATATTTCCGGAGCATTGGCTAACGAAAGTAAGCCAGATCTCTAACAGACATGTCCTAATTAATTTAGTTCGCGATTTAAAATATCCAAATTTCCTCGCTTATCTGAGTTTCCTAGAATATCGAGTAATTAACGACATTAGAGTTTGCGACACGATAGAACGGCAAGATTGGAGATTTCCGAGTTGGAAAGTACGATAATTTCGAAGTACGACCTAGCAGGCATTACCGTATCTGTGGAAGTCGAATTAAATCTATTTGCAGGAAATTCATCGAGTTCTTCCGCAAGATCGGCAAGAAGCTGCTGCACCTAGAGATGAACAAGGGCAAGGAGCACGCGAAACACAAGTTCGACGCAAAGAGCTCGAACTCGAGCCGTCACGACAACGGCACAGAGGCTCTGTCGTGGAAGAAGCACTCGGGTCACGGGAACAGGTCGCGTCTTCGCGAAGAGAAGATGATAGACTTTCTGAAAATCGTCTATCGGAAGCTGCAACGCATCGACGCGAGACAGTCGAACAATGCTACCAACGGCAGCATGCACGACCTTCTGAATGCCATGAGCAAGAACTTCTTCCACGTGGACCTGTCGGAATCCCGGCGGAACAATTCCGGCAGAAGTCGGTCCGAGTTCGAGATTCGGAACCAGAGGGAATTCATCAAACTGAAGCGAGAATTCGAGCGGATAATGCGGTTCTACAACAAATCGATGCGCTGGAACGAGAAGCAGAACAGGAAGGACTCGAAGAAGAAGGGTCAGGCTCACGGTGGTGAGAAGGGGAAGAAGTCGAAGGATAAGAAGAAACATCGCAAAAATTATTACAAAGGATTCTACGAGTTCGTGAACAGTTACGTGACCGAGAAGCTGTCTATGCTGGAGGCTCGCAACGCTACCGAGGAGCTGATCAAGAACATGAAGATCGACAAGTTCACCGTGCGAAATGGCACCACGTTCACCGTGGGCGAGATGTACGCGTTCTTCAAACATATCATAGAGGCTAAACTGAACAGCACGGAGGACCCGACGCTGACGGAAGCGTCGACGACCGCGTCTTCCTCTTCCACGAGCTCGGTCGCGGCCGTGAGCAGCAATGACAGCAACCATGACAACAGCCATGACAGCAGCACGGCGACGACGTCCAGCGCGTGGACGAGCAACGACACGACAACGACGCTGGCGACGCCGAGGGAGATCGAGTCGCGCGATAATCGATCTTCGACGATGGCCAGTAACGAGTCCTCGGTGCTGGACAACGAGATACCGGCCAAAGAAGGAGTGCCAAAGCACCGCAGCAAGCGAATACGAAACGCGTCCGAGGACGGTGGTCCTCCGCGTCAGAAGAGGAGGCTGCTGTCCCTGAACGACATGCGGATGGCCAACAAGAAGAGCGCCAACAACGTCGTATCGTCGTCGTGGAGAAGCGAGAAGCAGAGGGCCTCGAAGAGGTTCAGGGCCTACGACGACGAGAAGACCAGGCTGTTCACGTTCAAGGAGCTAGAGGCCCAGCAGCAGAGCCGTGCCAAACGATTCCTGCCACCGTCTGAGCTGGATAATCAAATCTTTTTAAAGAACTTGTATCTTCACGCGTACGAGGACGAGTATCGGGCTAACGTGAAACGCTCGATCGTCCTGGAGAATCAAACGAACGATCAGCAGCCGGCCGTCTACAGGAGGCGCAAGGGCAACCTGGACGCGTACGAGATCAAGTGAACGAACGCGGGATTCATTGTGTTGTGATATTATTGACGGAATTTACTGAGGTCATTAATACCGATATCAATCGATTTTAGGCGAGTATACACCATATACGATAGGATTATAATCGTTGTCCCTCGTCGATGCGCATTGTAAGACGTGTATCGCGCTTTTTTCAATGAATCAATCTTTTTCCATTTGCCAAGTCTCGGTGTAACCCGGTTTTACCATGGGGTTCAGTCATTATTCCTCACTTATTCGTCGCGGTGTGAGCTGATAGGGGTGTTTAGGAGTTCGTCCCAGGTTCTTCCCCTCTTTCTTTCCTCCTCCGTTCTTCTTTTCGCTGTTTCTCCGTCTCCTGTGTCGTGATCGTCGATGAGAATTCCACGAGTACTCGATAAGCGAACGGTTGATTCGTGTCCTTTGTCCACCGAACGCGGGAATTAGCGCGCCAACCCCCCGAGCAGTTGAAACCCTGCCGAGACTGGAGGGTCGAAATTTTGTCACAGGGTCTTTAATCGATGATGTTCAAAGACTGATCGACTTGGAATTTTTAACCTAACATGTTCTTAAGCTTCCTCGCTATTCTTCTGCCTCTATCGGGTATGAATCTTCGACGCCGAAGATGATGAAAAAGCTAGCCAAATTTTCTTCCTTTCACTGATCTGTGATACGAGGCGGTAGTTGTTCTTTTGACGTGCCGGGTATAGGTTTAATTAGACGGGTAAATTAGGAGCAAACGAGAATCAAAAGCGTACGTTTCGACTGCAGGGGGTGAGAAGTATTTTAGATAATAGCGGTCGCTGAACGTAGTGGTAATCGTGAGCGTGTCTCCTTCCTTTTCACAGTAGCCAGCTCGCATCGCGGAAGTATTTTAAACTCTTCGAAAATCGTATTAGTAGAGGATATGTTAACGTATTTTAAGTACGTCGTGATGAGAACGCATCAATGAAAAAAGCCAAAAAAAAATGAGAAAAAAGGTAGAAAAAATGAAGAAAAAATAGAAACGAAGAAGAAAAAGAAGAAGAAGGATAAGGAAGACGAGTGGAGAAGAATGATAAAAAGGAACACGTTCGGAACTCGTTCGATCAAACGATCTTCCGTTGAATAAATCGATTAAGTTTTCACGAACCGCGAGGCTGTGTTTGTTAAACTATTATATCGATTAAAAATAGGTTTTTTAACTGTTATTATCGAAAGGCATTGTAACGTTGCGACGTTGTATATATACATTCACGTTGATTTCACGTCTTTCTCTCCTCGGTTTGATACCAAGACGATAAAATATATATATACATACACGGTCGTATCAATACTCCCGTCCTCGTCTCTTCGTAATTAACTTTTACTTGCGAACGTTTCAAGTCCACCGTACACACATTCGAACCATTTGTATCGATCGATCGATCGACCCTTTCACACACGTATACACTACACATGTACACGCGCGCACGCGTTGCGAATCAAACTGGAAAATCCACACTCGAGCATTTTTATGAACGACAAGCCATGGACAAGTATCATTAGTGAATAATAAGTATTATGATACGAACAATATACCAGTAACGTGTACGTCATTCCTCGAATTCCCGAGACTCACTCGATTCTCGCCGCAAATTTTTATGTATAATTTCACGTCCACAATTTTTCACATTATCTACTTCTCTTTTATTTTAAACCTTTTAGAGTTGACTAGAAAAATTAAACAGGCAACTAATACAGGCAGGTAATATGGTTTGATAAAGTTTGAGAAAGGTAGTATAAAAATTTAAGTTCGAAAGATAATTACGGAATTTGGAAATAAAACAAAAATGACGAGACAAACTGATACGTAAGTAATACAATTTGACAGGATTTGAGAAAGGCGGTATAAAAATTTAGGTTCAAGTTATAGAATTTGGAAATAGGAATATTAAAGCATGGAGAAAAATTATTCACCGTCTCCCCCCATTTTTCTGATAGATATTTCAAATTTCAACCGGTTTATAATTTATCTAATTCGGTAAAATTTGCGAATATTGATGATACAAAAATTTCAAAAAATTTCCAAGAATTCGAGCGCACTTCGCATCGGAAAGCAAACCCCCAACGAGTGACGTGCAACGACACCGACAGCGTCAACCCTAACCCAGACCCTCGAAGCATCGCGATCAATGATCCACGCGTCACCGACACCTCGGTTTTGCCCATTCAAAAGGTCCCTTCCCCGTTACATCCGCCCTTAAAGAGCGACGAATCCGCGGCGAAACGAATGCAGGAAGAGGGCCGAGGAAGATGGTGCAATTAAATCGTCAAATTGAACGCATAAACGGCGGATACCACGGGATTCCTTTCACCGGCAATTTCTTCGGATCGCGCGTTCCAGGCAGATAATTTCGCGAATAATTCGGATGGGCGAAAATGGCGGGGCCAGGTAGCCGATAGCCGATCCTCGTGGCCACGCCGGTGTACGCGATATCTGCAGGGATCGATAGCGTTTCACCCCGGGAGAAGCCCGGGGGCCGATCGCTGATTATGCCGTAACATCGCAGGTAATTAAGTCTGAAAATAAGCGGAGCCTGAAAAAAAGGGGCGCGGCCGTGCAACGCGCGCGTAATTCGCGCCGCTCACGTTCAGTCCGGCATTGCTCCACCTGTCAATAATCGAACAGTGTCATTAATTACGGACCAATTATAATTCGGTGAGCGGCGACGGAACCGTGTCCGCGATGTTATCTCGCGCAGCGCCGCTCGTTAACACATCCGTCGCCGCTTCGGGGAATCGTGTTAAATCGATTAATCCCCGAACCGACACGCACATTCGTTATGATAAGAGCAACGTGTGCACCGGCACACTCGCGCGCCGAGATGTGTACGTAGAGATGCGTACGCGCGATAAACCGCCGGGCAATAAAAGTGCACGGGGGCCCCGACGATGGGCCAGATTGAAGCGGACGAGTGCGCGATGATTGGTAACTCGTAATTGGGCCGGGACGTGCCGCGAAGATCCTTCGACGTGCTGCGCGAGACCTTTTCTCCTCATCGCGAATAAATTATCGGGATGCGATACCACGCGTGGGTTATTACCTTGATCCTTCGATGAAACCGCTTGTTTTTGGGGCGGGGGTTGCAGGTCTATTTGATGATCTGATTAGGGTTGCAAGCAGATTCCGATAGTTCCCCCCTTTCTTAGCACGGCCAGTGATTTTTTTTAAACGATTATTCATTTTTGCAACCTTTTAATGATTTTCCACTTTATTCCGCGAAATTTTTATTCTTTGGGAGAAAATTAATTTCTTTTTATATTTGATTGGTAAGAAAATTTTATTGGCCTTCATAATAATATTTTCTAATTTATTTCTTCGCTCCCGTGATGCAGATTTCTACGATATATCGTTTTAATATCTTCTTCGATCCTTGTTAAGTATAATATATTCCCCATGATGACGACCCCTGATAATCCAGATTTAATCTCTATATAACTGATAGAAAATCAGACAGTAGTTCATTCGAAATATCGAATTGTCTTGGAATTATTTATTTTTTCAACCATTTAATGATTTTCGACTTTATTCTTTATCAGAAAATTAATATCTTTTTATACTTGAATTTTAGAAAATTGTATTAGGCTTTATATTAATCCTTTGTAATTTATCTCTTTGTTCCTGCAATGCAGATTTCTGCAATACATCGTTTTAATATCTCTTCGATCCTTGTATAAATATAATATAGTCCCGATGATGATAATCCCTGATAATCCAGGTTTAATTTCTATATAACCGATAGAAAACCGGACAATAACTCATTCGAAATATCGAATTGTCTTGGAATTATTTATTTTTCCATCCACTTAATAATTTTCGATTTTATTCCACAAATTTTGATTCTTCGTGGGAAAATTAATTCTTTTGTATATTTGGTTGGTTAGAAAATTTTATTACATTTTATATTAATCCTTTGTAATTTATTTCTTCGATCCTCGTATACATATAATATACTCCCGATGATCCTGATAATCCAGGTTTAATTTCTATATAAACGATGGGAAACTAGACACTAGCTCACTTAAAATCTCAAATTGTCCCGGAAAAATTCCTCAAAGTACCCGCACTTGGAAGATCGCTTCCACTGTCAAGCGGGGCTCGTAATCAAACATTCACGATCAAGAATCAAGGGATGGTTGCATCAGCGTATGGCCCAGTTTCACGCTTATTAACATCGTCATTTCTCTTCGATCGCTAATGAAGCACACCGCCGAACACCTCGTATCTCAATGCCACGTATTATTCGTCTGTGAGGCGATAAAATTGCAAACGACTTATGCAACTTGCACCGGCGAGCTGTGCCGCGCTGACATTTAAAATATGTTCCCTGATAATTGCCCGTATGTCGGTGCTTTCTTAAATTCCCGGTCCCATAATCTCTCTCGTATCTCGAACCACGACAAACGCCAAGCCTCCTATTTTCTTCTCGATAAATTTCCCGTGATCTACGCAGATGTGCATACGATATAGATAGACAGAGGCTTGCTCGAAGGCCAAAGGTTGCATAGGGGTACGGTGACAATGCTCCACAGACACGAGGGTCTCAAAACTAGCGCGAAATCGATAAACGTGTGGCAACGTGCTTAAACACAGTGGCATTTGTACGCCTGCGCCTAACGAGAGCAACGGGAAGAGAGGAATAAATGGGAAAAGAAAAGAGCGAAACACGAGGAAGAAACGCGCAGCACTAATTCATTTAGCATAGTACGCGTCCAGTCATTATTCCAGTTCATACGACGATGATTATGCGGTCAGTTGATCCGGGTGCTAAACGCGCTAAGCAAGAAAGGCTAGCGATAAATGGCTGCTGCTGCCTCGACTTTGCCCTCCATTAGAGCCCTCCGCTACGTCTCCTATGTAAACCGAACACGGTAGTCTCGAAAAGTAGTGCTAACGATGAGCAAACGAAAGTCAGTCGTGAGACACGAAGCTCCAAGTGCTTCGTGCACCAACTCCGGTGTGATCTGTTACGTACGGCTGAATGGATCTCGAGAACCGCGAATCAGAGTTCGTTCTCCTCCTTCGTTAAGCTCGATAACCGCTATATTAGAGTTTGGCTTCGTTAATTTCTTCGGAATTTTGGCAGTTCCCGTTTGTCTTTTCGGCACACCGAATAGAGTGCTTGTTAGGGTAGTTAGGAGTTCGCGATCGGCCGAAACTTTCGGTTAAAAGCTTTTCGTCTTCCCCCTTCTAATATTCCAGTATTTGCTCCTCGTACTGCTAACTCCATTTAGAACCAATGAATGTTTCTCTTGTCCCTCGCGTGATATTTTGTCATCGATTTTTGGGATTTTTACAGGGTACAGGCTCTTCGCTGAGGTTTTGTTCCATTGGAGATATTAGAACGTGGATTCGCACATTTTTCTTGTACATTTATCTTCTCGACCAGGGGATATAGGGATATATGAAATTCAATTCTACGATCGGCACGTTTGGTATTGAATTCTACATTTTTGGCATGTCCAGGTGTCACGATTCGTTTCTAATGCTATGTGATATGTTACCAATTAAGGAATCCATCGAGACTTGTCTCGTTTTGTCATAGGCTAAAATTGTGTTTCGAGTCAAAGGTTGTATTTATATGTACCGCGTGAAATATGAAATAACTATCGCAATTAGAGCACGTGGAGTGTAAAATATGTGAATAGGTTAGTGGTACTCAAACGAGAAAAGAAATTATGACACTTTGACAGTCATCCACATTCCCAGTTTCGTGACTTACTGACAGCTCGAAATACGTTACCTAGATGGACAGACCAATAGAATTATTCGGTAAATTTTGATGCGCAAATAACACGCAATTAATTGTAAATTCTTCCCAATGTTGCTAATCCCTGTCAATCCAATTACTCATAATTCTCCATAAAAATTAATCGAATTCCAAGTTTTCGGAAATCTTCAATCGATAACCAAGATAATTCTCACGTACTTCGTACAAGGATACGCCTAATCTCTGACACCTAGAAGCTCAGAAGCGACACTCGATGAAA